TCTGAGACGTACAAAGAAACAGGAAAGTATGGCCCATATTATTGGGAATAAAGCAATCAATACACACTGCCCCTGAGGAAGCAGAGACATTTACTTGACTAACTAGATCAGTAAGCTATTAAGTCAGCTATTACAAATATCTTGAAAAAGTTCAAACTGTGTCTGAAGATCTACAGGAATGTGTGAGACCAGTTTCTCACCAAATAGAGAATATCAATAAAACGATAGGATTTTTTTTTTTTTTGAAGAACCAAATAGCTATTCTGGAGTTGAAATACAATAACTCAAATGAAAATTTCACTATAGAGGATCAACAGTAGATTTGAGCTTACAGAAGAAAGAATCATAACTTAAAGATATGTCAATTGAGATGATCTGATTTGAAAAGCAGAAAGACAAAAGAATGAAATAAAATGAACAGAGTCTCAAAGACTTGCAGAATACCATCAAATATACCAACATACAGATGATGGGAATTCCAGGAGAGAAGAGAGAGAAAGGTGCGGAAGGATCTGAAGAAGTGCTGGCAGAAGTATTCCACAACTTTATGAAAAACATTAGTCTGTGTATCCAAGAAGCTCCGTTAACTCCAAACAGGGTAAACTCAAAGAGATCCACACCTAGACACAGCATGGACAAACTGCTAAAAGCCAACAACAAAGAGAGAAACTTGAAAGCAGAAAGAGAAAAACAATTCACAATATACTAGGGAACCTCAATAAGATTAACAGCTGACTTGTCATAAAAAATCATGGAGTCCAGAAGGCAGTAGGATGATATATTCAATAATTCTATATCTAGTAAAACTATCCTTCAAAAAGAAAGGAAAAAAAATAAATAAATTAAAAAAATAAAAAAAATAAAAAAAATAAAAAAGAAAGGAGAAATTAAGACAATCACATAAACAAAAACAGAATCCAATGCTAGCAAATCTGCCCTGTAAAACATAATAAATGGAGTCCTGCGGGCTGAAATGAAGGGATACTATAAGTGAATTCAGATCCACGTAAAGAAAAAGAGCACCGATAAAGGTAACTACATAGGTAAATATAAAATACAGTATAAATGTATTTTGTTTATGTCTTATTAACAGAGCAGTACTACCCAAATTGATCTATATATTCATCACAATCACCCTCAAAATCTCAGGTGTCTTTTTGGGAGAAACTGACAAGGTGATCATAAAATTCACCTGGAAATGCAAAATACCCCTAAAGGCAAAAAAACAGTCTTGAAAAAGAACAAAATTGGAGAACTCATACTCCATGATTTCAAAACTTACTATGTAGCTACAGTAATCAAGACAGTGTGGTACTGTCATAAAGATAGGCATGTGTAAATGGAATAGAGTTGAGAGCATAGAAATAAACCCTTACATTTGTGGTAAGTCGATTTTCAACAAGGGTACCAAGACCATTCAGTGGGGAAATAGTCTTTTCTAGAAATAGTACTGGGAAAACTAGATCTCTGCATGAAAAAGAATGAAGTGGAACTACTTCCTCACATTATATACAAAAATTAACTCAAAATGGACCAGACTTAAATGCAAGAGCTAAAACTGTAACACTCTTAAAAGAAAATGTAGGAGTAAATCTTTGTAATTAGGCAATATCTTCTTAGATATATTGCACAAGCAACAAAAGAAAAAATAGGTAAATCCATCAGAATTAAAAACTTTTTTGGTTTCAAAGGATACCATTAAAGTGAAAAGGCAGTACACAGAATGGGAGAATTCTTTGCAAATCATATCTCTGAAATAGAATATATGAAGAATCCTTACAGCTTAACCATAAAAAGACAAATAACCCAGTGTTAAAAATGGGCAAAAGATTTGAATAGGTGTTTCTCCACAGAAGATATACAACTATCTAATAAGCACATGAACGCAACATCGTTAGTCATTTGCATTGGTAAATTGCAAATAAAAATCACAGTGAGATACCACTTCATACCCACTAGGGTGGCTAAAATAAGAAACAGCCAAAAATATGTGTTGACAAGGATGTGGAGAAACTGGAACCCTCATAGGATGCTGATGGAAATGTTAAAATGGTGTAGCTATTTTCAAAACCAGTTTGGCAGTTTCTCAAAATGTTCAACACAGACTTACCATATTGACCCAGCAGTTTCACTCCTAGGTACTGACCCAAGAGAAATGAAAACATAGGTCCACACAAAAGTTTATACACGACCGTTTGTGGTACAAACATAATAATAATAGCCAAGAAATGGATACAAGCTATAAATGTCCATCAACTGATGAGTGGATAAGCAAAATGTGGTCTACCATACAACAGAGTATTATTTGGCAGTAAAAAGGAATGAAGTACTGACACAGACTACAGCATGAATGCACCTTGTAAACATTGTGCCAACTGATAGAAGCCAGGCACAAAATACCACATATTGTATAATTCCATTTATATGACATTTCTAGAAAAGGCAGAGCCATAGAGACAGAAAGTAGATTAGTGGTAGCCAGGGGGTATTGGGAGGAACTGCTAATGGGCACAGGTTTGGGTTTTTTGGTGATAAAAATGTTCTAAAATTAGATGGTGATAGTTGAGAATCTCTGTGAATATACTAAAAACCGCTGAATTATACACTTTTAAAAGGTGAGTTTTATGGTATGTGAATTATATCTCAATAAATCTGTTATTTTTTTTTGTAAAGGCAATTTTCACATTTAGTCTGTTTACAATAAAAATGTATTTACGAATTAGTGGCATAATTTTAAAAAGAGGAAATAAATAGGTGGTTCCTGAGGTCTTTTTCAGCTCCAGCGTTCTAGGACCCTCTACCAGTGAGCTTGTCGCCATGCAGCATAGCCCAGGGAAGTTATGCCCTAGAGCCTGCAGGTGGGTGGGAGACAGACAGAGGCAGAGGAGGGAAGAAGGGAAGGTGTGGGGGACTTAGACAGTCTAGACCCTGAAGTCAACATCAGATGCTTCTATGGCCTGCGACTCTGCTGCCCCTCCTTTCCCAACCTCAAGACCGCCTCTGTCCTCCTCAGGGCTCAGCTCTGACATCACCCACTGCAGGTTGGATTCTCCAGGAAGCAGACCCTGAGACGGAGTTAGAAGTACACAAGGCTTACAGGGGACTAACATCTGTGAAAGGAAAAGGGGAGGGGCTGGAACTAAGAAGGGGGGTGTCATCAGACTGCGATGCAGACCTCGCGGAGGTCTCTGGAGGCTCAGCAGGAAGCCTTGAGGCTGAGTTCCTAGTAGAAGAGCCCTGTGTCGTCAGGTGGAAATGGGTCGGCCCTTTACTGCTGGTCGCTGACTGACAGTCACGTGTGAAAACTGACTTTATAAAAGTAACAGCTTTATTGAGGTATAATTCATATGCCATCAAATTTACTTTTCTTTAAGTGTATCATTCAGTGGTTTTTAGCATATTCACAGAGATGCTCACCTCATACCACTATCTAACACTTGGAGTTAAACTTGACCCTTCTCATTCCTTCTCATTCCTGGATTCGTCAGTAAATCTCATCAGTTTTGTATAGAATCTGACCTCTTCTCACCACCAAGCTGTGATCATTCTGCTGACTTGGATTTTTGCAATGGCAAAAATTGTTTCCCCTCTTTTTTTGCTCTCTGCCAACCCTAAACTGTTCCCAATGCAGCAGTCAGAGGGATCCTTTTAAAATTAAGTCAAATCATGTCACTCTCCTGCTCAAGTCCTCTAGCAGCTTCTACTGGCTTCGCTTCTCAGAGGAAAAGTCATCAAAATTGTCTACAATTCCTCACCTGACGTGATGCCCCCAGGCCCCATCTGCTCCCCCCATTCTTAGCTTTAGCCACACTGGCCACTCTGCTGTTCTTCAGAACCACTAAGGTCCTGCTTGGGGCCTTGGTACTTGCTGTCCCTTCATATTGTCTGCAAAGCTGGTATTTTACCTTCTTCAAGTTTTTGCCCAGATGTCCTGCACCTCATTTCTCAGTGACACCTTCCCTGACCATCCTATTTCAAACTGCACACCTTCCTCCGACACTGACAATCCCCTTTCCTGCTTTCTTTTTCCCCACGGTGTTTACTACCATCTAAAATCATATATATTTTATGAATGTATGTGTCTGTCTCCCCTCACTAGAAACTGAATGCCTTGAGGGATGGGAGTTTAGATGGCTCAGTTTCCAGTCTCCCTGCCCCGCTAAGTGCCTGATACTTACTAGGCGCTCAGTTACTATGGGTGAATGAATGAATAACTGAATGCACACCAGGTGCTGCGCTAGGTCCTTAAATCCTCATAACAACCTTCCGGAAATGTCCCCATCGTATACGTGAGACCTGCGTGGGTCTGGCCGCAGCCAATTCTGTTCACCTATCTTCTGCGCCGTGCTGCCCTCCCAGCAGGCCTTCCTAGAGCCCTTGCTCCTGTCTAAGGGAGCTTTGTGGCTCCAGAACCTCTCAGTGCAAAAGGCACTGCAGGGAGTCACAGATGCACCCACTCTGATGTGGGGACCAGTCTTGGATGTAGCCCTTGAGCCAGCACCTTGTCCCATTTCCAGATGCTTCTACTATGGCCTGGGGGTAGCAGTGTATCTGTTCTGCAATTATTGAAAAGGAAAGGGGTGCTTTTGAAAAACTGGTGAAGGATTTAGGGGTTTTTTTTGATATATATTAATAATATAATGTGCCATATAATTGTTTCTGGCTTCTGTTATTAAGGATGATTCTATTAGTGGGGGAAAATCCAGTCATTTCACCTGTGATTTCTGAAAATTGGATTTTTTCGTTTTTTGATATGCATACCACACTTGGACCAGTGTAGTTTAAATAACGCGCAGAAAACTATAGCACTACTTCATTGTTTTAAAAAATCGACAGCTATTCTGATACATAAAAATACATGCGTCTTAACACTCCACAGTGTCATCATGTTGACAGTGTGAATAAAGAAGTATTCTAATTGATCATTTATTAAAAGCAGTAAATTCAGTAGCAGTGAAAGAGTCTGGTGTCTCATTATTGCTACTTAATTTTTCTTACAGGACAAAGCTCTAAAAACATCCGTTCATCTCCAAGCATTGAGAGTTTGCCTGGAGGAAGAGAGTTCACTGGCTCCCCACCTTCATCTGCTACTAAAAAGGATTCCTTTTTCAGCAACATCTCCCGTTCACGCTCACACAGCAAAACTATGGGCAGAAAAGAATCTGTAAGTATTTTAAGGACGGTTTTCTTTTTATCCTACATTTTCCTCTAGAATGCTGCATTTGTGAAAGCCTCTCTTCGTGCCTAGTTTTATAAAGTTCTTAAAATTTTTATGGACTAAAATGAACTATTTCATCAGAAGTATTTTTATTATTATAATTTAGTAATATTTTAACGCTCTGATCTATATTACACTGGGTGGGGGTGAGGGGAAGTAGCATCAATTAAAATAAGTTGAAACCCACATCTTCATCCTTTTTTTCCTCTACAAATGCCTTTGTCAAAGCCTGTACTGTCTTCTAAAATGCTAAGAAATAGCATTATACCAAACCATAGAATAAGACACTTAAACCAAGCTGTTTTTTTCAGTTTTAAGTATTTCTTGAAAATGAAAAACAGCTATTTTACCAATTGTTTTAAAAAGTTATACAGATTACCTTTAAATTATGGTGTATTGATAGCTGCTGTCTAAGATCCTTTGTATACATTACTCAAAAGGACACAGCTAATGCATATCAACTACAATACTTAAAAAATCTCATTGTTTCTGAAAAAATGTTTAAGTCACCTTCACAAGAGATAAAACATTTAGTCACACTTTATAGCTATTTCAACCCAGTATTCTAATATGAAGAATTCATCTGCCCACTGGAAGAGGCTGTAAATGCAAGGTCTTACAGCCAAGGACTAGCTGTTGCTGAAACAGTGCTAAGATGGAGGGGTGGGCTGTACAACCTTTGAGGGATAATTATTTAAGGTACATAGGCCAGATAACAGCATGGTATCTATCTGCGTGACTGTATGACACTCAGCTTCCTGGTGCTTCCGCCACCTCATCTGCAAGTTAAACAACATACTTTGCCCTCTGAAGGGAAGAGTTCACCACATACTCTCTCGGGGCGCTTTCCACGTGTAGGAACCGTGCTTCTCTAATTTGTAGAAGAGCAGAGTGGAACTTCCATTTGCAAATGGCAGCTTTAATGCAAGCAGTTAGCTCTGCTGCCTCCTAAACTCCACTCCAGGAACAGTTAAGTTCATTTCAGATAAACCCTAGAGGAATAAGGAAACAGGAGAGACCATAGCCGCTAGCTTTTTGTTACTTGGAAAGCAGATGTTAATTGGAAGCTAACTTAGCGGCCTAAGAAAGCTGTGCATGCTAAGCCAGCAGTAGGGAAAAACCAAGAAGCAACCTGAGTGAGATGGTAAAACCCTCTAGAAGCTCAGGAACTGGAAACGGGGTGAAGGTGGAGCTGAAGACATGAGGACTGGTTAGAAGTTTCTTCAAAAAGCGGATAGATTCCCATCCTCACTCTGGCAGAAGACTGGAGGTTTAATTCTCTGGGAAGTGCGAAACAGAATGTCTCTGGACTGAGAGAGATCAGGAATATTCGAGTACGAGACCACCCTCCTGGAAAAGGGTGTTGAATATATTTAAATACTGAATTGAGATCCCCAGGCCCCACCCCACTTGCTTCCCAGAACACCAGTAAGCATGTCCCTTCAGGCAGGAGATTGGAAGGGTTTTCTCTAGGCAGAAGTCACAAATTTAAAAAACCTTAGGGGTTCTCCAGGGAAATAGCCAGTTCACTTTACAGTGAACTCAACCATCACAGGCCCATCTAAGCACAGAAATTTCTCTTAACTTGTAGTTCACACTATTTTATATGAACAAGACAGGCAAGAATCACCAGATACTAGAGGAGAGCATCTAATAGTGACAGACAGGCAGAAACAAATAGATAAAAAGCAACTGGGAAGAAACAAGTCTTTGCAGGAGAACGCTTCAGAAAAAAATATTCATCCAGAGAATAACAACAACAACAAAAGCTATTGGAAATTAAAAGATGACATCTGAAATGTAAAACTCAATAGAATAGTTGGAAGATAAAATGGAGGAAACCTCCCCAGAAAATAGGATACAAGACAGAAATGGAAGGTAAGAGAAATAAATATAATAAATAAAAAAAAATTAGAGAACCAGCCCAGGAGGTTCAAAATCTAAAAAAAACAGGAGTTGCAGAAAGAGGGAACAGAGAAAGTGACAGGAAGGAAATAATCAAAAATATAATTCAGTTAGTTTTTCCACTAATGAAAGACCTGAGTTTTCAGATTGAAAAAGGTCATAGAAGGTCCCACGTGAATAAAAACAAACCCACACCCAGATACACCACCGAAAAGGCTCAGAACCCTGGGAACAGAGATATCCTACAAACATGTAGAGTTGGGGAAAAATAAAGATTTCCAACAAAGGGTGAGGAATTACAATAGCTACAAATTTCACATGGCAACACCAGAAGTAAGACAATGGAGGAGAAATTCCTTCAAAGTTCTGAGGGGAAATTACTTCCAGCCTAGATTCAGTCCCTAGCTAAGCTAATTATGTGTGAGGGCCACTTTCAGACATTCAAGATTCAAAAAATGTATTCACATGCGCCCATTCTCAGAATCCACTGGAGGATGTGCTCTACAAAAATGAGGACAGGTACCAAGGATAAAGAATACATGAGAACAGAAAATAGAGCAACCAGAGTGAGACAAAAGGATTCCTCAGAAGGGTAATGCAGGGAATCCCGGAGTATACAAAGCATGACTGTTTAGCAGATCCAAAGAGCAGCAGCCAGCCCGGACTGGAGCAACTCAAAAGGTTCCAGACAGTTTTCTCTAAAAAGACGAAATTGGAAGAATGACTCGTATATTTGGACAAATCGAGAAATTTACACAGCTACAGGTGAGTTTAGGTTTGAATTAGTGATAACTTTTTAAAAATGAAGCCATTAAAACACAGGACAGCTATATGCCAATAAAAATGAAAAAAACAAAAAACACAGGACAAGGTAACTCCAAAGAAAAACCAAGGGTGTATAGGAAAACACAGAAAGGTATTGATAAACCCTGTCACTGAGCCAGGCCTGGAATTTACATAAACATTATGATGTAAGTCTGTTGACTGTTAATGGTGATAAAAATCCATTGAGAAAGGTGGGTGGGGAACTGTGTTTGCTTGGGGAGGGGAAGGGGTAGGTGGTGGTCAGAAGAGCCGCATCTTCATCTTCTTTCCTGGAAAATCAGCGAATAATACTCTAGAAAAATCAAGAGGTGGCAATATAAGCTAGAGCTATAAAGGTGAGAAAAAAAGCACGCGTAAAAGAGTTGAAAGTGGTTGCTAGAGCAGGAAGCAGAGGGTGGGGCTGTGTGAACTGCTTTTCATAAGAAGCCTCGTAGAACCATTGGACTCTTTTCAGCGTTACATATGTAACTCAGATTAAAAATAATAACTAAAAATCTCAACTAAAATAGGATGTATTGGCATAATAAATTAGTAGAGGAGCTGTCTGCCTGTACAAAGAGCATGTCTCTGAAGAACCAGAGTAAGGAATAACAAGTGAGAAAGCAGACGGAGACAGGTCTGATTTGCGTTCTGTCCTCTTCTGGTGCCATGTGGGTTAGCCTACAGCACCAACTAATTACTTTTCTTTATGGTGCTACTGTAACTTAAAGCTGAGCAAAAATAGAAACAGCGTACGTAGACCTGCTGTGAACCCAGAAACAGAATGCCCAACTCTTATTCAAAATTTAGTGTATTGCCTAAGTTGTGGGAAGTAAGTAGACAGAACTTTTCAAGAGAAAGTGCACAGTTTTCCGAGTTACAGGTTATTATTTTAGGAAATAATTTATCGTGGTCAGTGCTCTTTGCCACATCATTCCAGTTCTGCGCCACTCTGGGCACTGGATGGGATTGCACCCCCACCCCCACCCCCCCGTCCCCTGGGACCCGTTGGAGCTGTGTGGCCTGTTGTGTCCCGTGAGTTGGGAACGGCAGTGGCAGGCATGTGTTGCCACTGCAGGGTTTTCCACAGCCCTCTCCTTCCTTCTGGCACGGTGAGCAGAACCCACGTGTCAGCCCATGATAGACGTGGAGCCTGAGTGAGAAACAAGCCTTTATTGAGTTAAGCTGAGATTGTTGCTTTGCACAGCGTAATGCACAGTTGGAAATGTTCAGGCCCAGAGCTGAGATTCATCCTCCCATGGGACCACCAGAGTGGTCCCGGTGGCACCAGAGCCTGTGACGAGGCATCGACCATCCTTGCGCCCACTTTGCTTTCATTTCCAGCCCCATTTAGTGTGATACAGGGGTTTTCCATGTCCTTAGAAAAGTTCAAGGTAATTTTTCATTAACATCATCATCATCACCAGTTTCTCACGCAGCAGGTGGCCAGAAACTGAAGAAAGGACATCTGTTGCTTTGGGTCCCTAGTGCCTTAAACTGTATGATGCCTTTCAGATTTCAAGACTCAGCTGATCTTTTAAAGTATCCCGGGGTCAAGAAATGGTTGATGTCAGTTAACAAAAGGCTGAAATAGCAGTTGAAAACAGACATTAAAACAAAAGTAACCGGGCTTCCCTGGTGGCGCAGTGGTTGAGAGTCCACCTGCCGATGCAGGGGACATGGGTTCGTGCCCTGGTCCGGGAAGATCCCACATGCCGCGGAGCGGCTGCGCCCGTGAGCCATGGCCGCTGAGCCTGCGTGTCTGGAGCCTGTGCTCCGCAACGGGAGAGGCCACAACAGTGAGAGACCTGCGTACTGCAAAAAAAAACCAAAAACAAACAAACAACAACAAAAAAAGTAACCTAGTAAGTCGCTATCAACCTAAAAGTGGTGAAATCTGCTTATAATGTGTCTAATCTTATCATTGAGAAACAATTTTTTTCAACATCAATATAGGTATGATGTATTTTGGACAAGAATCACGTATTAGGTCATAGAACTTATTTCCTCTCACTGTTGCCTTTTATGGATCATAGAAAGGCTTTCTGTAATCCACAGGCTACCTTTTTTAAATGAAGGTGTATCACATTTACTCCGGGTAATGCCCCCGATCTGGTTGTATAATAGAAGAACACAAAACTCAGCTAAGACTATAGAGAGGTAACAAATTAAGCTTTGTGCGATGTGTTTATAAAAGACACTGTTTTCTGAAATGCAAGCAAATGAAATGAAATGCA